TTAAGCTGCTAGACTCATGTACGTAAGTAGTTTTAGATTCGTATACCTCTTCCCATTATTACTTTTTCATAACAGAATGGCATTCAGCTGTGAAAGAAGTCTCAGTGATTAGTGAAGTATAAAGTTTGAGAGCTTTTGCGTTCGACATTTGACTGCACATGTCAAGGCGTCACGTTCAGCACTCAGTCACTTCCCCTTTTTTGTCTGTGTTCAGTGACCTTGTGTTGCAACCATTATTTGTTCAGTCTCTATCTCTGAGTGATGTCTACATGGGACAGAGGAAATCTTTATAATGGAGCGTTGAATATATGGTTACTGGAAGGATTTTGGACAGCAGTGGAACAGACATGATGACGTTAACAACATGCATGGTAAGTTAAGGTGCGAGTCATTTCTCTCTCAAGCAAACCTCATCTTTATCTTTTGCAATATTAGTTCTTCCTCTTTTTGACATGTGGCACGGACTATTTGAAAGTTATTGCCATTTTGTGTCTTAGACTCAAATAGTCACAATGCAAAATAGTGCTGTATCTATTGTTGTGCATGATGCCATAGGCCTTATTGATTATAGCTGGACTTGTAATGACTTATACATGCCAAATATACAATCACGTCAGAACAATGTACAATTTGTTCTTTCATTTTCAGGTTGGTTTCAAAAACTCTTGAAATCAAGAGCAACAACTCAACATGAGCAAGAAGCCAAAGCATTGAAAAACTCAAAAAATCCTGTCAGCAGTGCATTAACATCATCTTCACCTACATCATCGCTGCATTATTCATCACCAGGGGCAACCTCTTTTACACAACGGCAGCAGTTTGCTCTAAAGTCTGAGCTGAGATGGAAACGAAAATATGATGTGTTTGTGTGTCACAGCGCTGCCCATCATGACATTGAAGAAGCCACACGCCTGGTCTCGTTCCTTGAGGCTTCACCCTGCAGCCTCAGATGCTTTCTGTGGCAGAGGGACACCTGTCCAGGAGGCGCAATTTCCACAGAGTTTTGTGAAGCTGTGCAGAACAGCCACTTACGGGCTCTGCTTATCACTCCCAGCTTTGTTCAGGATGACTGGTGCAATTATATGATGCACCAGGCTGTGGCAGAGGGACCTATGTCTCGTAGGATGATTCCTCTGGTTAAGAACTTGTCACTGTCCCAGTGTCCAAAAGAACTGAAATTCTATTACTACATTGACCTGAGCAGGGACCCTGACCGAGGCTATACTCTCGTCATCAAGACCTTGATCAGCTGTAAGTAATGAAAAAGATTATGTTCTTCAGGCTTGGTTCATAAACATAAATGTATCCTGGTCATAGCAATATATAGTATAAAATGAGATGTGCTGGTACATGTTTTGCGTAATGGACTGAACTTAAAGCTGGAGAAGGCAGCATGTTTTGGAATCATTGAGCAAAAATTCCCTACTGACCTGTCAGCATATTGTATTTTAAGTGGTCCATACAGTTGCACCTCCTCCTGACTGTATTTTCAGGCTTTAGAAAATCGAGCTTGTGACAGGAGATTTTCTGCCAGTCACAGGGGTTTTCACTTCAGATGAGAGGGTATAAATAGCAGCAGAGAGAACAGGATGTGGTGGTTCAATGGTTGTACTGAGCATTTTCACTTGGATAAATGAGGTTTAAATTCTGGAGAAAGCAACTGTTGATTTTATCTTGACTGTCTTTGCAGTTTTGTTTGAAGTGTGTGCTCGTGTGGTGAGAGGGGTTTAAAACAGAGAGCTGCAGATGGAGAGTGGTGTATTTCAAAACTTTTGTTTTGGCCTTCTCCAGATTTCTTCCTACTGCAGCTTTAACCTATGATGGATATAAATGGGCAACTGTTTATTTCTTCTTTAACGTCAAATCAGCATTTTGGTTTCTGTAAACTCTTAAAAAAAAAGGAGGTCATCCGCAATAATTCAAAAGAGTTTGATGTAGAATCCGTCTTTAATAATATCTTTGTGTTTTGTTCTCCAGACCTGGAAGACCTACTTAAAAACGAGATGGAACTAAGTTGCAGCATGGACAGTTCTAATAGTGGATTAGACGAAGAAGGCAGCCCGTTAAAAAACAAGCTCACGTGATAGAACAACCCCACTGGGACTTCTATTTCGGGGGAATTGATGCAGAACAGAAATAAAAGCTTAAATGCCATTTGCATTGATCATCATAAACAGTAATGTGATGAAGGACGAAGGCTCTGAATAGAAAAACACTGCTGCTATTGACAGAACTGTTTTTTGGGGGTGGTTTTTTTAAATCACATCATGCAGAGATTTGAAGTAAAAGTTAAACTATGGTGTCATTATTATACTTTTCTTTTTGGTCCTTTATGAATATTAGGTGTCTGGGGAGGATGTTCATTCAGTGAACAGAAAGCACTTCATTCTGGGCAACGTCTGGGTTTATTTCCTGTATCAGATTTAGAGAAATATTTCAGCACATAAAGAGGAAATCTGTGTGACCCAATTTGTAACCTATAAATCAAACCAATTGTGGCTCATCGTTTAAAAGGAGTTAGAATCAAAGTGAGGGCTACCATAACAGGACATAGTGTTTGCCACTAGGTGGTGTCTTTTCCTTTATATTCCAGCTGAGGAGATGCCAGTTTTGAATATATGAGGGGGGCAGATGGGTTGAGAGAGCAAGAGTGAGAGTGAAATGGAAGTACCCACCCATAACAAACTGCTGACAGCTGCATGATGTTTTGTTGAACTGGACTTCAAATAATAATAGAGAGAATGTAATTCCTAGTGAGAAAAGATACAGCTCTATGCTTCTGTCTATTTTAATCTACATTTCTCTAAACACAGAAAGATATCAGACTGATGGTGTTCATCTGCTTGTATAAATATTTCTGACTATCATGCAGCTGGCTGGTTTCTCCCTGAGACTATGTTCTTTCTGTGCATTGGTTAGCCTAATTGGCATTTCGAAACAGTCCATGTAATAGTGAGCTGTAAAGGGTGTGCCCTGTCTCTCTGCCAATGTCAGCCTGGATAGCTTTCAGGCCCAGACGTCCCTCTGAAGGATGAGCAGGTATGGCCAATGAATGGATAGTTGGAACAAAGTCTAAACATGTTGAAATATTGGAAGTAACACCCTGCCTCCAAACTCTAAAGAATTTTTAGTTCTCTGTTCATTAAATGTTCTTGGCAGCCCCTTCCCTTGTTAATCAAATATACTGGCAGATGTCAGATAGCTGGCATTTTGTTAATTCTATGAAATATCAGTTATTCACTGAATCAACTGGAGCATATCGTTTGCAATTGAATAGCATTCTTTGTTAATGCATGCATGGATTTTTTTTTCTTTTCTCTTTGCTTTTTTTTTGTTTGTTTTAAACTTTTTTTTCTTTTTTACATAATGCACTGTTATGTTCCAAGAAGTGCTACATGTTCCTTTTTTTGGTTTTTGTATCATCCCCCCATCCCTCTAAACAACAGCAGACATTTAGCACCACAAAAAAAACAAAAAAAAAAAAAAACCCTTGACAATCGCCTCTTTTGTGGCAGGTCAACAATGTAACATAAAATTTAGACTAATCTCTGAAAGGCACAGATGTTCGATGAGACTTTTGTTGTTACCATTGCAAATCCTCTCTCTCTCACACACACACACACACACACACACACACACACAAGCACACACATACACAGTGAGTTACATGGATGACCCCTGACTTCAGAGAAAGAGAGACGTAGCACATTTTACTTGTAAATGATGCAAAAAAACAACTTTAATGTAACGTCTATGTCTTTAATAATCACATTATATAGCTGCCAGATATTGTGTCTTTCATTTTCAGACTAAAAGGTTACAATCTGTCGTTACTGAAATAAAAAGTGCATTCAGACAAGACAGGATAAAGTTTAGTGTAATGTTAATTTCATTCACTAAAAATTGTGTTCGCATGCATCTGTCAGCTATCTTTCTTTCCATTAACCTAGATGAGAAGTTGGCAAGACTAGACAAGTTACAAACATAACATTGCTGGTGAAGAAAGATGAGTCAAACATCCAATTTTGTCATATATATTTATATGGACTATTTTAAACTTTACCAAGCAGCTGCTGGCCTTAGATTCACATCAATTGTACAAACTTATGAGCGTGGTATCAATATACTGGTCTAACAAGAAACCCCTCCATAAGTTTGAATTGACCTGTCTCCAAAAGACAATGGTATAGTGTTAGATGTATTAAAAAAATACAGATGTATTAACATATAATGACAGTATTGCTTGCATTTGAAGGTGTAGCCACAAGCAGCTTTGTTGCAATTTAGAAAAACTGGCTAACAGATGTTATTGAGTGCTAAGCTTGTTGTCCATGGTAAAGCACACAAGATATTCTTCTAGTACACATTTAATAGTCAGAAAATCCTGCAGATTTTGAATGATTCTATGCCAGGTAAGGGTATAAAGGGTATTTAGGACCTCACCTGTTATATAACAGGTGAGGTCCTAAATAATACTGTTTTTTTTGCTTGAATAAGTCCACTGGGTAGAAGCTATCTAGCCTGCGTGGCACATCAAGCATAGTGGAGCAGTACCATCGTAAAAAAAAAAAAGTGTAAAATACTGTAACCACAGTACCACACCACACCACAATAAATGTCTGTCTTATTCTCAGTACAAGTTCTTTTAGCCTAAAGTAATAAGAGGAATTCTAACCTGGAAGCAGTCTGCTAAAGTCTGACTAAAATGAATATTTCTCAGACAGCTTGTTGTTGCCTGAAGTATTAAATGAATTACTACTTGCACTGACTTTTGATTTCTGGACTTTGGACTAAATCCAAAAATAGCTGACAAAATTCACACTGATTCAGAGTGGAAAGCCCCTGAACAGGCGTGCTGTGCTGTGGCATCACAGTCCTTTCAACTTCAAGTAAGAAGTAAAGGAGACGAGAATGTTCAGACCTCTGAATCGCAAGCTGGTGTGCTTTGGACCACCAACAGTATATGGAAACGTATTCAGCTGTTTCTCACCACAGGGTCTGCACTAGGCGCGGTGGCACTGACCTGGACGTTTCTATCTGCGGTGATTCAGTTCAGTTGGCTGTGCTACAGTGAAGAGCCAGCTGGGTTAATTAAAGGAGAGCAGGAGATCCAAACATTTTACTGGCTTTCGAGTGAAAGTTGATCATACAGTGCAATGAGAAATGACAAGGCTGCAAATCATGTGCAACAGCGTAATGGTTTTATGCACAAAATGCAAAATGAGTTTTAAACCCACAGATACTATATACATTTGTATATCTGTACTAAGACCTGACTTCTTGACCACTTTCTTCTTGTGGGACGAAATGCATTTGTGATTTTAACAGAGAATTACATTCAACATACAATACCTAAGAATTACCATGAATGGTGGAGATCATCTGCATACAGATTTTATTAAAAATCCTGTGAAAACAAAACTGCAAATAAAGCATGCAAAACTCTCATTTTTTGTATGATATGTTTATCTTTTGAATTTAGTGCACAAAGAATTAACGGTATCTATTGTTTTCTGAGTGAGACATGAGTTATGGAGACCAGAGTTTGCTGATGAAACGCTGCAGTGAAATTACCCACTTTGTAAAGGAGATTGTTTACATATCCTGAACATTGCCCTTGTGTCTGAGTTAGCAAACATTTGTTTACATGTAGTCTTTAAATTTATATTTGTGCAAAAATAATTTTGTTGCCAACAAAAATAGGAAATATTTCACATGCACTGTTAATGAATAATAATAAATGTCTCTTTTACATGCAGCATCAAACCTGATAGGCACTCAAACTGATCTTCACTCTAACTTTGTTATCTCCTCTGCAAACAGAAAAATTTACAAAATCACTGTCAACAGCAACAACGTTCTCCAGATGTCAGTATCTCTGGGAGAAATATGCAGTAAGGCTGAGGAGAGTTTGGACAACTCATCACAATTTGCAGAGGATCACTGGTGGCAAAGTTCATTAACCTGTGCACTTCAACACCAGCACCATCAGTGTCATGTCACAGAAGGGCTTAATTTATGCAGCCATGGTATTTGGATGAGTCAAGATCTGCCCAAGTTCATAAAGGATTAATTGTAGTTGCAATATACAGTCAAGGCACCCTTTAAATAAAGTGCATTTACATGCCATTTGTCATGTTAAAAAACAAAAAAACATGACAAAGCTTGCTAATCTATCGAAATAACTGCTTCATGAATCAGTGTGCGACATGAGGCTTCCCCCTCAATAACATTCAAAACATTCCGCGCTCAAGCCACAGATGTGCCAAAGACAAAACAAAACTGCAGGAGTTGAGGATGAAGCTTGATAAGTGATTGGTACAGGTTTTCAGCATGAGAATAAAGACTGCTTGACTGCCTGGGAAATAGAAATGTGTGCTTAAACATGTGGGTTAAAACTGATTAAACTGCACGATTACTCAATGTAAACAAAAAGCATTCATAAATGTCAGATAAGCGATTCAATTCCTGGTTAATATTTTACACTGGTACCGACAACAGGACCTTGAATGACTGAAATTCAACTGAGAGCTCATTTAGATTTATATTTTTTTATGCATGAGACAACAGAAACTGAAATTTATCTTGTTCACAGTCATGGAAACTAAGAACAATTACTTTTGTACTGTATTTAAATACTGTTTTGAGGCACTTTAGCTTAACAACTTACATTTTATGCTACTTTCTCTTTCTATGCCACTATATTCAAGAGGGAAATACAAGACTTTTCAATCCACAACATTCATCTGACAACTTTGGTTACTCCTTAGCCTACTTTGAATGTTCACAAAGTATGGCTGCCTATAAATAATTAAAAGGAAAACCATCTTTAAAAGCTGCAAAATTAATTAAAGTGACAATTACATGTTGATGCATCATAAGTACTGTAAGGAGAACTATATATTGCTATCACTTGGCTCAAGAGGCCACAACAAAAAAAAAGACCAACCAGGAATAACAGTTACAGCATTTTCTGGTAAGCAAATTAAATAGGCACAAGATGTGGCTGTGGAAATCAGTAAAGTTAGTGGTGTGCATGTGTGAGTAATGTCCATGCAGGTGTTTTATATGTACTATTTTTAAAGCATAATAACACTACTACTACTACTACTAATAATAATAATAATAATAATAACAATTAACTAAAGCAACACCAAACCCAAGACCCATGGGCTACAGGCGTTCCTGCTCCCACTAAGCTGCCACCTGCAGAGCCAATGAAAATGCTGGTTAGTACTAGAACAAATGATCCATCCATCCATTATCTATACACCACTTAATCCTCACTAGGGTCGCGAAGGGGGCGGGGGCTGGAACCTATCCCAGCCGATTTAGGGCGAAGGCAGGGGACACCCTGGACAGGTCACCAGTCTATCGCAGGGCTACATTTACAGACAGACAACCAAGCACACTCACATTCACACCTATAGACAATTTAGAATCACCAATTAACCTCAACATGTATTTTTTTTGTTTGCTTTTGGACTGTATGGGAGGAAGCCGGAGAACCAGGAGAGAACCCACGCTGCATGGGGAGAACATGTAAACTCCACGCAGAAAGATTCCGGTGCCCCCACCGAGATGCGAACCGGTGACCTTCTTGCTGCGAGGCAACAGTGCTACCAACTGTGCCACCTTGCAGCCCTAGAACAAATAATAGCATCGTAAAAATAATAGTAAAATAATATATTTATATGTATGCAGATGTTTTAATACATGACTTGTAACCTCTGTTCAGTCTCATTTGCCAAAGTGAAAGAACTGAGCTCCTCTTTTACCACTGCATTTCCTCTGCTCTGTCTCTGTTCTCTGTTGCATTCAGGGGTTTAAAAAAATCACAGCCAGCAGAAAAGACTTTCCAGATGTTCTTTCCTCTGGGATAAAAGTCCAGTTTCAGGCGGATTGACACGGCCACAGGACAAACAATCAAATGAGCCAGAGATCACAAGCAGCATTTCGATATGCCTGCGTACTTCTGTACCAGCACCATCAAGTTTCGACTTGCTCTTTTTTTTTTTTTTGCACTCATGGAATTTGGATCTCTCCTCTCCAGCGACCTAGTGCGCGTAGCGACATGCGCATGCGTCCCTGCGCCAGAGAGGAAAGGGAACGCGCTGTAACAGCGAGGAAGCGTTCCTGTAAACCGCTATCTGCATGCGAAAGCTCATGCCAGTGAGACCGACAGTGAACCACCACCATGTGATTTGCGTGGATGTTTCGTACATTGTTCAGAGGGATGAGCTTTGATGCCGTCATCACATCACTGCTTCTATCCGTGTGTGTGCGCTGCGGACAGATTTCTCGTTTTCCCACGCAGTGAATGTCACCAACAGCAACGTAAACTTGATTGCAACATTACTTTACAGGACAACAAGGTCGCTCCACGGGATAAAGCTCATCTGTCCGGCAGGCTGCTGGTGAGTAACCTTCGTTTTCGAGCAAACATAAAGTCGCCTAGCTTGTTAGGGAGTTTTATACGGTTGTTGGGACGCATAAAACAACACTGACCTGATCTGTGTAACTTCCCTCATTGGATCACAACATGTCACATTTAATTTGGCTGCTGGACTCTTGATTTGTATGTGTGTGTGTCAATGTGAAAACTAATGTTTTTGTTGGTTTCCTGTGGTTAGACGAGTAGTAGATGGAATGGCAAAGACATGGGGGCTTTTTGTGCAGTATGATGACTTGTATTAGAGAATTTCTTCAACCACAGGCAGTTGTTTTATCCCCTGTGATCAATGACATTAACTTGAAGTAGAAAATAGGTTACAGTCTGGCTGTGTGCCACTGGGCTCCTGGTGTAAATGTAATCTCTCAGCAACTCAATCAGGCACTGAAAGACTGTAGTAAGGGAAACATATGAATATCTGCCAACTAAATCATTAACAAACTATTTCTTTACCAATATGTTTGTAAAGGTGCGTAATAACATGTTTTAAAATGTTGAAGTTCAACTCCCATGAGAAACCCTGAAAAAACCTGCTCAAGTCAGGGTACCGATAAATGATTGTCAAAAAATAGATTTTTTAAAATCGGGCCTTAAGTAACTTATGAAGCGTCAAATCAGGGTTTTTTCATGATTCTGAGTTGATTGTTAGCATTTCTGTTTCACCACAAACACTCCATTGTTGAAACAGGCCACACTCACGTTTACATACATACAGTAGATTTTATTTCAATATAATACTCAGTTATTTCTCATTCACAATGTCAGAAGCTTCAAGAATCATTGTCTGTCTTCTTCAGACTCAACAACATCATGACTGCAGTTTGTACATGCAATGCCTTTACAGATTCCACAGGCCAAGATGCTTGTGACCCCATTCTTCTTGCAGCTGCACCGCCAGTTACTGCAATCTCCATGACAATGACAGCTCGTCAACTTCAGTAGCTCCTCAGGAGCCATGGGGTCTAGTGTTGGAACTGGCGCATACCCATGCACACCTAATGTCCATCTATAGTCACTGAGGTTCACAGACATGCTCTATAGAAGGATCCAGTCCCAGGTCTGCAGGTCGGCTCAGAATGAATGCTGCACCCTCTGTTAGAAGTAGAGTCTCTGGTTTGATCACTCCTGCCGCCGCCTTTCTTGAAAACATGTTGTACCAAATTTCACCCAATGTAGTATCTGGTCCATGATGAATGTACTGGAAAGTCACTGTACCAGCCTGAATCACTGCCTTCATTATTATTTTTAATATTTTTACTATGATGACAATGATGATGATGATGGTTATTTTTTGTCGAAGTAATAGCAGTGTTATCATTATTACCTGTCAAATAGAGTTGTGTTCCCATGGCCAGCAATTGCAGAAACCATATCACACTCTGCGAAGGTGTGCCAAAAAAGCAGGTAGCCCCTCTGTCTTTGAGAGAGATTCTTGGATATTTCGGATGTCATAAGAGCTGTTTGATGTGGTTAATCTAATGTAATCTAATCTAATCTATCGTTACCCTAACTTGAGCGTTTTTTTTTTTCAGGGTTTCTCATAGGAGTTGAACTTCAACATTTTAAAACATGTTATTACATTCCTTTACAAACATATTGGTGAAGAAATAGTTTGGTAACGATTTAGTTGGCAGGTTTGTGAAATATCTCATAAAATGCCCTTACTACTGGGGAGTCCAGATCCTCAGGAGCTGCCTTGGCATTGTTGCCTGAAGTAGCTCTTTTCATCGAGAAATGTAATTTGATTTGGTGCTTTTGATTTTTTGATGATCCTCATGTTTTGCTTATTGATGCAAACTTTAACATTAGATTTCAAATTATACACTTGATTTGCTTTAGATGTGTTATTAAACAGTAAAGTTAAAATAGATGATGTTAATGATGATTTATAATATATTTTGGATGCCAACTTGGAGCAGATTAGTTTGCTCATCCTGTTTTGCTCTCTGCAACAGTAATTCTGGCTAAAAAACAACAACAACAACAAACAAACCTGATGGCTGTGTTGAATATGTCAGATTTTTGGCAAATTCAATCAAAATGATGAACCACTTTCGTATTACAGAGCAGCAGCAGTAGCAAGATGATTTAAGAAAACCCACTAAGTATAGATATTAATTTTATTCTGAGTTCTTAACCTGAGGAAAAGCACAAATTATTTGAAAAGGTAAGATCAGCTGAAAAGGTCTTTTCAGAGCTGCAGTTTAGCCTTTCTGCTGTACATCATTCTTTCAGTAATGGGCTCTTCTGTGATGAGATCCTTGTTCCTGTCTGGATCTGTGCCATTGTTTTTCACAGCTGGATCAGGACAGTATATTTCACACCATAAAATACATTAAACTGAAATCTATCCTTGTTGTTAGAGGTGTGGCAGGATGTACGACGTTTCAGAGATAAACTTTGATCGTTGTCGTCTGATGTCATTGCACAAGGCACAGTAAACTGATCGTGTTCAAACTGCATACAGAAATTTCTGCTGAAGTTGTTTCAGAAGATTTATGATACAGTGGTTTGGGATAAGGGAGAATTATATGGATTACTGATTCATTGGCACCACTACATTTCCCCTTCTTGAATTTTCTCCTGTCTTGTTCCTTGTGAGTGTGGGCTCATGGTTGTAACAGTGTGTCGCGACCGTATGAAATCCCTGAGATCATACACTGACCTGTTGTTATCAGGCAATGTACCAGCGGCTAGGTTAAAGAGATTTCTTTTTTATTTTATTTTTTTTCCACAGATGTTGGATTTAATGGAGCTTAGAGATATTTAGCACATGGCAACTTGTAGCAAATCAGCTGAAACACATGATATGCCCTTTTGCAGGAGTGACTCATTCCTGCTTGAATCAATTAGTCTGGCTTGAAAAACATGATGAATACACATCCGCCCTCGAAACATTCATATCAGGCAAATATGATCACAGTCTGACTGTGGTGAAATGGTCATTGTAGTGAAAGCCCACTGGTGTCCATGAGCCTTAGAGGGGGTTTACACAGATTTTTCAAAACAAATTATTGTCAATGAATTAGGCCAATTTATGTGAATGACAGGACAGAATATTTGTATAGCTGTAATCTAAGTGGGCTAGAGTAGACAGTGGGCCCATGACTCCTGGGTGCTCTGTGCATTGCTTGTGGTCATTTGCAAATTTGAATGCGAACATGTACTGTTCAACAAAATGAAATCATCACCTTAATGTGACAGAGGCAAATAACAAGGCTTAACTAACCCCAAGGGCCTGTTTTGTAAAAGGGTCCTTTGTGAAAAACTGTATTGTTGAAGTTTATAATGTGCAAATGAGTAAAACAGAGAGGTGATTGCGATCAGGGCAGTCAGAAGCAGTGAAGTAGTTCACATCAAATTTTTGCTTCTGGTTCCCCAAGTGGGTTATTCTAGCCACTAATGCATAGCAAAGAATGGTAATTCCAATTAAAAGTTACTGGTGTTCACATTTAAGAGGAACATCAAACTCAAAAGATTGAATATGTTCAAGAATTTTTATGTTCTTTGGCTAACTTTTATTTTGATTTCACTGCAGAACACTCAAATCTGATCTCCCATATTGTCCTCCCCAAACACTGTACATCATCTCAAGGTCATCACTAAAAACAAATGAGGCTTTCTCCAACAACTCAAAACGTTATCATATAGCCTTCCACAAGAAATTTGCCCGCTGTTCTCTTTATGCAAGTCTCATTTCAAAGTTCACTTTTTACAGGTGCTGTGTTTTGTATTTTAGTCTCCAAATTATCTCATGTATTATCTATGGTTTCTTCAGCTAATTGGTAACCACATTCCCAAGGAAGTGTATATTCCTCTTTTCATGTATTTACAGCTGAGAGCAACTGTCAGCCTTATCTATTACTATGATCAGTCGCTTTCTTACTTGTTCTTCCCATGCATATAGAGGTAATACCTGAAAATAATTGCATGCAATTGTGACACACATCCTTGGTTTACTATGTTTAAATAGACTGCGACGACCAACTGGAAATGGTTAGCCAATGCCAAAACCGTGACTTAAGCAAACTTTCTCTTCCATGGAACTAATAAAGACCACGTCAATTTCCAGAGAAGTGAGCAGGACAAACTATTGAGTCACCTGTGTGTGTTTATGCCAGAAAAGGTGCAGACACACAAACACACACACACACACACACACTTAAACACACAATAGTACATGGTCATTTTATAACTATCCAACTGGATATTAATGTTAGAGATTTTGCTGTGATTGCAGTACCAAGACAACATATAAATCTTTACTTTCGTCTTGCTTCATTTCATCTCAAGACCCACAATTTATTTAATTTTAACATACATTTTAGCATGATGTCCTGTTGCCATTATTAAGGACTTGAATCATATACTGCTGGCTAAAAAAAACCTGTATGAACATTTGATTTGATAGCGTAAGTCGAAGTTTAGCCTGAAAGAGCTTTTTTCATGTCAAACAAGTGTTTCCTTATATTCCAAGGCAATCACCTTTAGCGATAATCACCAACACGATAAACAGAGGACAGTACAGATACCATTACTCCAAGTATTGTAAGATTTTCACCATTTGCTGATGACATTTTATGATTTGAACTGTTTCTTACTATTAGCTCACTACTTGAACAGTTGTCCAAACTGTTTTCAGAAATGATCCATTGGGTTTAGTTATTTCAGTTGTTTATCCATAACATTTCAGTCATTTGTTATGTTTAGCTAGTTCAAATATTTATTTAACAAAGTATTTTGACAATTTAGTGAACGTTTTCTAGATTATTTTAACTGTTTGTTACTTACTATTTCAACCATTAGCTAATGGCAATTTACTATTTAATGTGTTAATTCATTACTTTTAGTTCATTGCTTGATCCATTTATCCAAGGTATTTAAGATGTTGCTCAATTAAGTTAGCTATTTCAGTTGTTTATCCATGTCATTTCAGATGCATATTTATTACTTTAAAATACTTTACGTATTTATTTAAGTAACTAATTCTAAAATGTGCAATTATGAACAGCTTTTTTTTTGTTTTGTTTTACCCCATTAGGTAGAAGTATCCATAAACACCACATGCATGGTTAAGAATAGATGGAAGAATGACTTATAATGACTAATAATGACTAAGAATGACTTAAATATTGAGTAAAAAGAAAAACGTAAAGTGATTTGGTCCATTTGTGTCTATATATGGAACTGTTCAGAGATGCAGTCTGATTTCATAGCAAAATCTTTCACTATTGAAGTAGTCAGAAATCTATGAATGTGAAAGTTGACAAAGAAGATCAGGATAGTAATGAAAAAAAAAATAAAGAAACACATCCCAGAACCACAATTACCCATGCCATGACTGCCACAAAAAACCTAGCAGGTCTCATCCACAGTAAATTCCACACACTATAGCTCCCCGAAGGCCCCTTTCCACATGCAGATGCTTTCAGGAAGGAAATAGAGGTTCATTAAAGCCTGCAATTTCTTTGAAAGCCTTTCTCCATAAATGCAAAAAATGCTACAAATGGGCACCAGATTTAGATTCTGACTGGATTAAATTCCGGGATTATGTGTTTTAGAGATGATTTTCTATTGTGAGCAGAATGCACATGTGATTTTCTTCACCATTGTGTCTGTGGTTGAGAGATATCAGCTGGTAGGTGGAAAAGGCTTTTAGAGAAGGTCATTTTGACTCATCATTTGTCTGTGCTGACCGTGTTGCAAGGACTTTACCCATTTACAATCGACCCAGTAAATAGCACAGTAAATCTGTGTGGCCTTGTATTCTGTGTTCAGAGATGATTAATGGCACAGTGACATCATGGTGATGTCTATGTATTTGTGTGAAGACATGTTCTCACAGCAAGTCAAAATAAACACATGGTAAAAACATCTTATATGAATTTTAGCTGAAATATTGATTGATTTTAATCAATAAGTCAGCCAATTTTACTCAAAGTGACACAAAAATACCTTGAAAAACCCTTTATATCTCCAAAGTATATTGACATAAATGTTCAACTGTAATATTTACTGTACTAATTGACATTAGCTGAAGTCTCCATTAATGCTAAGTACCTACAGTATTGGCCTTGTTAGCTCTCACCTTCCTTGGGAATTTGGGAGGAAGCAGCTTTAACCAATAAATTGCTGACAACAAATTTCCCATGGAGTGCTTTTGCTGGAATTACTTCCACTGCGTTATTTCGTGGTAGCTGCCTGACTCATCTTTAATCACTACAGTGTGTGGCTAAGCTCTTTAAGTGGTCTGTCTACATTTCTTTCGTGATCCACGGTTAGACTTGAAGCAATGCTTTGAGAACATCTGTGGTGAAGGGCACTTCTGACAGGACTAAATCGCACTCTGCCTCTGCTCTGTTGATCTGTAACAACTTGAGGACGTTGCCATGTCAGTCACCCTGCTAGCTGTCTGTTGTCTGTTGAGGAGAACGTGTGCTTTGCTGTGCTTTATGGTCCTGGGAACTGCAGTATGCCAGCTGTTGTAACTGTTTCTTTTTCAGGAGGGTGAAGAAGAGGGGGCTGGGGGGATATAGTATCTCAAAAAGGATGTTGATGTAAATAGAGGGGTATATGTAGGGTTGCATGTGATTATTTTCATTAATGTTTAAACTAAGTTTTTTGGTTTAGTTTAGTTGTTTTATCTATAAAATCAGAAATTGGTGACAAATGCTTCACTATCATACAATCACATTATTCACACCCCAAATATATTCAATTTACAGTGATGTAAACAAGAGAAAAAAAAGCACATCTTAATATCTCCAACAGCTTATGTGTGTCATTCTTGTTTAATACATTAGCTATATTCCATAGGATGAAAGCAGGAAGACGGGCGACTGACATCCAAGCCTTTATCTAAAGATGTTATACAGTATGTGCATTTTAATGGACAGTATATCATATAATGATGTAGCTCTGATGCATCCCAGCACCTAGTTCCGGTATACAATAACCCACCATGCATGCGGATTTATGTTATGTCCCTCATTAGGTGCGCAGACAAGTGAAAAACAAGGAGAATAACATGATAACTGTGCAGATATTCTGCAGTTGTTTTCGTACGTCTGATTTATTTATTTATTTATTTATTTTTTTACCACAGGGAGAAGTCTGCACCCATTATATCTGAACCACTGACGATACAATCTTTTGAAATGAAAGAAGGGAAAGGTGAGATATCCTGTTTTTTGACAAATGATGGCTATGCAGCTCCCTGGTCACATCATTTTGAAGAAAAGGCCTGTTTGTAGTGTTAAGCCGTGTAATAATCATTGCGTGTGTTAGGTGAGGTTAGGTTAGGTTTTCTAACAACAGCATTTTGACTACTCCAGTATTCAATCGTACCAGGATTAGCTTCAATTTAGGATGATTTATTAATTTATTGTTTTTTTGAATGACAGATGTGATAAATTGTGAGTCTGTAAAATGCAAAAATGGTCATTAATAGTTACCAAAGCACAAAGTGGCATGTTTGGACTGTTTGTTTGGTCTCCTAACAGCCTAAACCCCAAAGTTATTTAACTGAGAACAGCAGCATATTATCATAACTGAGGCTGGAACTAGCATATGTCTGTCACATGGAGAATTGGTTAATCAGCACAATCAGCACAACTTAGGCCCTGTAGTTCAGCACAACACTGGATCCAGGCACAGACCATGTGGAACTTGTGCCACTAAAGACAGCAGAACAACAGAGAGAAGGAAAAGAAATCATCTTTCTTGTTTCATAAAAGAAAAAAAAAAAGAAGATACATTTGAAGTTTGCTCCTGTTTGCATTCTTCAGTGCTTTCGTCATTTCCTAAACAATAACTTAGGAAACAAACACAGCCCAGTCTCATATCCTGCTTGGGATGAAAACACACCCACTCCATGATAACTCAAAGAAACTACACCCTGATTCAGGAGGCAGCAGCGTCATCGCATTTTATGTTGTGAAATGACTGTTTTGTTTTACAGGCAGGGACAGCAGTGTCCATATTTTGCAGAGTAAAATGTGCAGAACATCCCTGTGGTGGTGTTAATCGATCATGTGGTTTCACTGTCTCCAAGTTTGGACGAGCACGAGTTACTAATAGATTTACTGCAGTATCACATTACTGTTTTTGCAATATAGCAAGTGCATGGACATATTTCTTAAAATTGAAATTCAGCTGTGCACTCCTTCAGTATACTATTGATTTTCAGTGATGTGCTTGTTCCAAAACAGTGCCAGGCATACTTAGTACAACCCATTTTTTAAAGGGCCTCTGCTAGTTACAAATAGGAGAGATTGTGGATAAGAGGCATTGTGCAATAAATAGTCAGATGTGTATTGCGTTAAATGCCCTTTAAGCTGATCTAAGCCATAATCTGAACTCTTTAAAGCATGAACCAAGCACACAGTGCTGAAGCTGATGTAGTATATCCGTCAGTTCAGGGACCAGTCTGTGTATCAGTGCAACATGATCCTCTTAAACTGATCGGCCTTCATCTGCTGCCTTTCTCTCGCTCTCTCTCTCTTAGCTTCTTTCTGTCTTTCTCTATACTCTCTTTCTCTTGTGGTTTAAACTTCCTTGCATCTCTTTCTGTTAGATTCCAAATTTACTCTACAGCCTCATCTGTGTGCAAGCCTAGTCAATTCCGCATTTTTGCATTTATGTGTGTGTGAGATGCCAAGTATAACTTCGTTTATGCGCATTTCATTTGCCAGTTGTTCCAGTTTCAGATCATCTTTTCAGAAGTTCAGGATGCTATTTAAAGAACATGCTAAAACAGTGTTTCCTTTCTGTGTCCAGGCTGACCTCATGCACTGTGTGGACATGAGAGGACCAAGGAGCATGTGAAGATGTCCCAGAAGGCAGCTAAAAGTAAGCTCTTCTGATGTGGGTGAAAACATGAAAGATGTATTAAAGCACTGATCTGACTATGATGTTTAACATGATGAGAGGATTACAAATTACAAAACTTTTATTTGTATCAATAACATCAAAACAAGTACTATTTTCTATTCACTTACCTGTCTTGCAGAATGATGTCAGCATTGCCCTTAAGATCAGAGTTTGAAATACTCCAGACTACATCCAGACTGGTTGCATATGCAACCATTTTTGAGAGAAATTTCACAATATTGCATTCATGTGCGTGCATGGTGATCCTTAGGCTAGCACAGGTACTTACTGCATTAACCATTGTGGTTTAAAGTAGTACTTTTTGTTCTTCAGTGGTTTAGTCACAGGGTGCAAGGTGGATCAGTGGTTAGCACTGTCGCCTCGCAGCGAGAAGATGGTTCGCGTCCTGGTTAGGACTCTTTCTGTGTAGAGTTTGCATGTTCCCCCCGTGCAGCGTGGGTTGCCTCTGGGTTCTCCAACTTCCTCTGACAGTCCAAAAACATCCATCCATCCATCCATTATCTATACACTGCTTAATCCTCACTAGGGTCGCGGGGGGGCTGGAGCCTATCCCAGCCGACTTAGAGCGAGGCAACAGTGCTACCAACTGCGCCACCCTGCAGCCCAGTCCAAAAACATGTTGCGGCTAATTAGTGATTCTAAATTATCAATAGGTGTGAGTGTGCTTGGTTGTCTGTCTCTACTGGCGACCTGTCCAGGGTGTCCCCTGCCTTTGCCCTGAGTCAGCTGGGATAGACTCCAGCCCCCCTGCGACCCGAGTGAGGATTAAGTGGTGTATAGATAATGGATGGATGGTTCAGTCAGGCTCTCTCCACCAGACTGCCAAGAGAAATAATCCATTTAGTTGTTTTAGTTTTCTAAAGATGAAGCTGTTTATACCTGGTTATTCTACAAAAACAGAATGAGCAGAGATAGCAGGAGGCTGGTGGAGAGGGAGAGCCAATGAGAGGTCCTAACCCAGACACAGCTGATAATGAATGTGCAGGTGCATGCCTCAGGCAGTGAAGAAGAAAAAGTAGTGGGTTGACACAATTTAAGCTTGAAAGTTGCTACTAGTCCAGATAAGTAGAGTTGCTCAATAGAGGAAAGTTCAGCACCTCATATAACAGAAAGGAACAAAGAGGAACTCCCTTTGTCAAACTTCAAATCCCAGATCACACTGATGAAATAAAATGGGCTGAATGTAAATCCAACCAATGCCTGTGCTCAGTTTATGGGAAGGATATCAGACAAGCTCCAGGGAAAGACTGCTGGCAGAATTACTGTATTTTCATTGTAAAAACTGTCAATCATCAGCATGCAAGACTGATTAATACCATACTGTACTAAAAACAGGGATGCAACCAAGTTTTATGGGAAGGTTAGTCTGGAGCCCTGTCACTGTAGAACAGAAAGCATGTCAACAAACTGTATTTTACAATGGTAATCATCGCAACTATATGCGTACTTTGCAGAAAATTGCAGGTCTTTATACTCCAGATGCTGCCTATTGTAGTAACTAAAATAAGCCTTAATGCTTTTCTTCTTGCTTTATACTCTAGACCGAGAGTTTTGTGATTTAGTGATTGTTTTCGACAGAAGAGCTGCAGTTGTACTCAAGGTTGCTGTATTTTGTTGTGCCAAAGAGTGTTGGAAATGTGGCCTGTCACTGAATGTCAGTCTTTGTTTCATTTCTTTCTAGTCGGTGTAGGCTCTTGTTGCTGGGCTCCTTAAATTAATAGTTCAACATTTTTCCGTCTTGCCATCACTTTAAAGTTGCTAGGCAACCAGCTGAGACGCTAAGAAGTCACTATGTCCAAGCAAGAAGCAATGTTACCTATAACCTCATTGCAACTTGTCATTTTTGCATTTATACAATATAATATAATAACAAGTGAGCTTTAAGATGCAGATAGATGGATTTGCTACCTTTGGACTCAGTCAGGCTAACTGTGTTCCACTGTGGTAATGTCTCTGTGCAAAGTTGTAACTTTATATTGAATGGACAGATACATTTGGCATTAATCTTCTTATCTTACCCTCAAAAAGAAAACAAAAAAATTACTGTTCCAATAGTTCAACTGTCCTTTTAGATGTCCATTAATTCAATGCTCCGCTCCCTGCCTTGGTGTAAAAGATGTATGGGTTTAGGAAATTTTTACAACGTTTCAATCCTACATTATGTATTATAAGCTTAGATATGAAATAACAGATTTACCACACAGATCTGCCAAAAGTTCAACAGCATACCAGACAAATAAATGTGTTACTGCACAGTATGGAAAAAAAGAGAGCATGAGCACAGCAGTCTTGAAAATAATTTAATTATTATATGGTTAAATTTCCTGGCTTCTGACAGCTCAGCAGGAGTTTTCCAAACCTCACTCAGCCACTTGCTTTTTGTCAAAATTAAATTTAGGCTTACAGCACGAATGGTTGCAGTGCATGTTAGCTCTAAACTCTAATTTTACTGAATTCTACTCCTGTTTTATTTATTTATTTATTTATTTACAAGTGTTCAAGTAGTATTTAAACAATTTGTGAACACGTTATATGTTAAAATGCGATTCCTTAATTTGTAAGTTCCACTCTTGGTTCTCAAATTGAGATCATTATGGTTGGACAGTTTCCTGTGAACCTGTGCATTTGTCTCTAAATAGCAAGTGGCACTTGCAGGAGACCCGTTAATATTCATTTCAGTATCATTTTTCAGTACCCAGATTGGTACTGGCTGCACACCTGCTTCAAATAGGATGGCAGAAGGTTTGTTGCTGTTTCAAACCACACCTATTATGTTCTGTCATTTAGTTTGTCAGTGTCAATGTCCATGAAGTTCAAGAAAACTTAGAGCTTCACTCATAAGGTGAAGCTACAATGTGCATCATGTAAAAAAGATGATTCTACTGTATAATTCTTGTGTGTTCCCCTTGTGTTTCCTGTAGCATGGTGCCTTAGGCTTCTCCCAGTTCTCCTCTTCTTCATCTCCTTCGTCACATACTACTGTTCCTATGGCATACTTCAGAGGTAATTACACGTGCGCTAACACAGACTTTCAGTCTTTTCTGATTGCTGTGGTATTGAGGTTACACAATCACAGAAATACCCATTTCTGGTTTAAAAAAAAAAGCATTCTTCTGAGGTCTGTGCAATGCTGAGTCACTAAAAGTTAGTAAGACAACCCACATTCTGATCATCAAGTGGTCTGAGCTGCTGGTCAACGGAGGCCCTCACACATGCCCATTCTTGCACATTTTGAATATTCTGGACCCAGTTCCTGGCAGATTGCAGTTTTATAGACTCAGCAGTAATTTCATGCCAGTTGTGGTAATTGTCTGTCTTTCAGCTATGGAGGCACCAGCAAGTCTCTGAACAGTAGCAAGTCGCTGTGTGGTGGCTGGCTAACCCAGAAGAAGTGGGAGAGCCTTAACTTTAAGTGAGTAATGGCATGTCTGTGTTTTTTTATTTTTTTTAACAAACTGAAGGGAGTGGATGACTTGTTAAAGAAAGATGGTGTGCCAATGTTTTTATATGAACATAAGGTGCCAGCTTCCTTGAAACTGGACAGCTCTTTACTAGTCATGAAGGAAAAGCATATTTTAGTGAGAAGAAACAGAACTTATTATTTAAAAAAAAGACTTTCCATCTAGATGATGATTCTAGTAAGTTTCAGTCACACAAGTGGAATGTCTTAAATGACCGAGAGGGAGAGTTAATATAAAAAACATTGTTTTCTGGGAATGTGCTCTTGATAAAGTTTTTTGGAGGTAGACAATGGCGTGTTTTGTTAAGTAATCACTGTTCCACATCCCCAAGCCTCCTCTCATTTATTTTTCCAATGTTCATTATCAGTGTGTTCAGCTGTATGTTTACTGGTATTTTTGTGAACTCTGTTCTGTTAGAAAATAGCGATATGGTTTCCATCTGGAGCTTGTCTCAACCTTGTCAAAGGTCACTGTTTATTTCTTCAGGCCAATAGACCTTCCACTGTCTGCCTTTTGACCTTTAAAATACTTAAAACCCATCATTCTTGTGTTTGCCCCTTAAAAGAGCATCATTTGTAATAGGTTACAGGTTCGTTGATCTTGGGTTTTCACATCAGTCATTATAGTCACAAGGAGGCCTTCCAGGCAATCACAATGACATTTCTCTAATTAGACCCCTCCCCAGGGATTTATCCTGATCTCCCACAGCGAGCTAGCTGGCACACAAGGGTAATAAATGTCTGAGAGACTCACTGTCAAAGACAGTAGGTCATAAACAGCTGGAGTCTAAAGGCAGCAAACACAGAAAAGTTTCACATACTGCAACCTGCCACATTTGTCTCCCTCAACGGGCTCTGTCAATGTTATTGTTTTCTTTTCCTTGTCCTCAGCAAATGCCAACACAGGCTTTAAATGAGGAAAATTGCTATTGAATGACATAATGTAAATGGCTGATTTTCTTATAATGAGTCTAGTTTACCTGCTTAATGGATACCAGAACATTTGGTAAAGTGAAGGCATCAGTCAAGCATATGAAGCAATTTCTCATGTGCTAGTATGAACAGCTCTCATGCTGTTTGGCAGCACAGATGGTATTGTCTATTGTGTGGTTTGATAGTTATTTTAGCCCAAAAACTCCAAATGGTTTTCTTCTTTCTTGCTGTCTTATTCCTATTCCAGCCTTCCAGCCACAAAGCCTGTAACATAACTCATCTATACAGTGAAACCCTGTAGAGTGTGGTCTTATTTGTAATTCCTGCTCTGACACTTCTCATGCAGCATTAGCAGACAGATGCAGCTCTTTCTGAAATTGGAGGATTTCTTTTGGCGGGAGCATCTGTCCAAGCTGGCATTACCTTATGGCATTAAGGGCAGTGGTATGTGAACGTTGAACTGAGCATTATCCTCTGTTCTTTCTGTTACGTTTACGCACTTATTACTGGTTGATTGATGACTAGGATTATCAACACTTATCGTCACATCTTGCACACTTCCACCAAGTTCAACTATGTTGTAAAATGAAATAAAAATAGCTTTTGTACTGTTCTGTGATTGAGTTTAGGCTTATACCTTACATCAGATCAGTGATGCTTTCATGTCATTAAAGTGCTTTGATAAGAAGATCATAGCCTTCATTTCATCTGTTGTTATTAGATTCATGTCCCTCAGATTTTTAATGCGTAATATAACTGGAACATTTTCTGTTCTCTGCATTTAAAGTATTCATACAGTCCTACTTTTTAAACTGTTTTTAAACTGTTGCTTTTTGTTTTACTTTCCCTCCCAGAGCTGCTGCTACTGAAAGTTCTCGCTGTAACTGCAAATTATCAGGTGCCAGCCAACATTGAAAAGTAAGTGTGAACATGCTTTAGCCAACTTGGCAAATGATACTAAAGCTCACCATTGTATTGTTGTAACTAAGATGTATATTTTATTTTATTTTTTGCTAAAATTTGTTTCAGTGTACTAATTAAAGTTCATGGCGCAGTACAGTCGCAGCTGTTGAATGTCCAATAAAGTGCAACAGGAAACATTTCTCATACAGATAGATTACTCAAAGAGACATTCTGGCCATATACTGTAACTATTCCTATAACAGTCAAGAAACCACCCTTGAGTGAGTTGTAGGTTTTGTTTCTACAGAGGCATTTCGTCTCTAATTGTGCAAAACACAAGTGTACCACATTTTAACAGTGTGTGTGAATGGTGTTTTTTTTTCCACAGCCTTGAATGCAGAACCTGTGTAGTCATTGGTAATGGCTTTGCCATCAAAAACAGCTCCCTGGGAAGCATCATCAACAAATATGACGTAGTCATTCGGTAAGCAAGGATAACACCACACAAACTTTAGTGCAATCACATTTACTCATTATTCTTATTGTACTGTTATTATAACATAGGTAAGAGGAATAAAATGGGGTTAACATCAAGAAAACACTTCTTATTTATGATTTCAGTCCAAATTATGCATTTGTTAAATCTTGACTGTGTCACTTTTTCATATTTCGCAAACTGGGACATTCAGAGTAATATTAATAAGAACACACAGAGCAATATTTAAACCCCAAACCTCCTCATATTTACCATCATGTTTCAAGACAGTTAGGACTTGGAAAATACAAACAGTTCCTGTCTAGATGACCTCAAAAGGGGAGAGTGGTGATTTGTCCACCAACCGCTGAAAGTAGGATTAAATTTACTTGGGTGTTGACTAATGATGGGCAGGATCCAACTGTGTGACCATCTGACTGACACAGAGCCGTCCTCTGAGCAATTAGCAAAGTTTTGAGTCAAATCAGATTCTTTAATGGTGGAAAGAAAGCATTTAGTTTACTCAGGGGCAAAGGCACTTTGCAAATCTGACTTTACAGCCTTGGAATGAACACATGCATTCTGAGTTTTTATAAGCCTCTTTCAAACAGCCAGAATTTGGCCAGGCCACAATGCATTTTTCTCCCCTCACCAACACTCCTCCTCCTCCTCCCTCACATCTCTCCCTCTCTTCTCAGAAGTTAATGGTTTCCTGGCCAAGTAGAGTAAGGTTATTGACATTCAGAATTCAATGCATGCCTGAGAGTTTGACGTCATTGGGCAGGTTCTGTCACCGTAGGCTTTTTTAAAGCCGGTTGAGACTTAAGTTTCCAAAGTGCAGACTAATCATTTGACGAAACAAGGGCTCAGTCTGTGCTGCTGTGTTAATTAATTGGTCAAGGGTTAAGTTATGATGTGATTGTAGATGTTCTTGTGTCAAGAATTTGTTAAAAGTAACAAAACATGCGTGTGTTTGCACACGGCAAATCAACAGACCACCAGCTGACCACAATCCACATGCAGATGTTTAATACAATTCTGTTAGAGCTCTGTGCCATTTACTACAGAAGTTACTGTTGTGCTTGTTTCCAGTGTTTCCAGTGTGAAATTGCTGTTGTAAAACTCCATCTTTCAACATGTCTGAACTGTATATCAAAGATAAATGTAGCCTCTGGGTCTGAAAAGTGAAGCCTTTGTGGAAGTGTCTTAATCCTGCATTCTTTGTAACAGTCAGCAGGGGGCGACTTCTCTGGCTGCAAAAAGAAGTGCAATTGTATAGCTGTCTATCAGATAATCACCCTACTTCTGCTTTGATTTGCTCCCTCATTAAACATTTTACTAATGAGTTTGTGGTCTCAATCATTTTATAACTTATGGTCCCATTTAAAGTAAAATAGACAATAAGCGACTTTGTCAATGAAGGGTCTCAGCAGTCTCAACATAGTGTCACAGTCATATCCATTGCTTGCTTGTCAGGTCAAAAGCACAAGATGGCGATGGATACTTTCTAAGTTCAAGGTTTCAAAACGGTAGTCCACAAACCAGTGGGTGACACCTTTTATATGCAGTTGGAGCTTAACTTGTCCATGATTCGCCTCTTTTACAACACAGGTGATGTTTACTCTGTTATAGAATAGAAAAAAAGTGCTGATGAAACAATTACATTAGATCATTTGAAAAAAAGAAAAAAATAACTTTTATTGCGTACTACTGCATGCAGAATAGCTGTTTCAAGGCTAGATTTTTGATTGTTAGGGCTTTTACAAATGTCAGTGAGATTTTTCTTGCTGAAATCTGCTTCTGACCTCTGAAAGAGAATCAGAAAAGTATCAGTTTCAGTCTATTTTGTGTGTGTGTGCTTTTGGTCAGACTTGAATCATTTACTAAAAAAAAAAATTGTAAAGCCCTTGGAGATGTGCACTGTTTGCCTGGCTATACACTGTTTAGCTGGAGGTAATGAGTGCAAATTAGCACGACCCATTCTTCAGAGCAGACATGATACTGTTTGAAGATTATACCTTTAATGCTCAATTATGTTTTAAAAGTTATGATTTAAGTATAACATTATAGAAAAAACTCTGCATGAATTATTACAAAAATGATCATCCTTAAAGAATTAAAGAACTCTGAATATTCTTTGTGTTCCTGAAGTATAGTATTGTGTTCCTGCCTCAGGTTGAATGATGCCCCAGTGAGAGGCTATGAGGAAGATGTGGGGAACAAGACCACCATGAGGTTCTTTTATCCCGAATCTGCCTCCTACAACCCTGGACTGCACAATGAGCCCGGCACACTTATGGTCCTGGTGCCTTTTAAACAGCAAGATCTACGGTGGCTCAAAGAGATCCTCTATAATGAAAAGAGGGTACAGGATATGTGTGAGAATGCATTCTCTCACACAAAAGCACACACACACACACACACACACACACACACACAACCATCTCCCTATGTCTCACTTTCTTTCTCTCCCACTCAGTCTCACATAAAAACACTTTGCTTAGTTTCTTTTCCAGCTCTCGTCAGTCATCCATATCAGGAACAAATACTTAAAAGGTTCGACTTCAGCGATGCCAGTGCCCTTCAGAGTTAAATGTAGTTTCCATCCCAGACATCCTTCACTCTGTTGCTCCCGGCACCTCCGGCTTCCTACTGCTAATAGTTGCAGGGTCATTACCCACTAATTTGCACATCGATTTAGTTGCCTCCAGAGATGAGAGAGTCATAGGTTCAATTATATCTCTGGGTAAATGAACTCATTCTGCCAACCAAAAATAGCGATCTTTTACTTTACTTTCAGTCCTTTTGTTCCTTTCACTTGTATAACATCACGTCTGTGATCTTTCTGTCTCTTTATGTGTCCGTTTCAGGTCAGGAAAGGCTTTTGGAAGCCCCCTCCTCAAATCTGGTTGGGTGACGTCAGCAAGATCAGAGTGCTGGACCCACATTTTTTGCACCAGACTGCAGACAGACTGCTCCAGATTCCTCTGCACCCCAAGAGCAAACAGGTGAGTAATTATTTCCACTTAAATATTCTGAGAATCTTAAAACTGAAGGTGTGGATATCACAGTTTTAGAAGCAGAAATGCTGGTTCTAGTCCAAAACAAATTGTTGCTTTAGCCCTAATCAAACCAGTCAAATCTCTAACTTTCTTAGTCTAAAAATGTTGGTCAGTAATTGCGGTGGCAGTTCTCCTGTGTTGCAATATTGAGCATTTCTGGCATCCCCAACTGTAATTTTCCTGACCAGAACATCCTTGTTTGTTTGTTCCTTCTGTCATACCTCCCTTTTTTCCCCCTTTTTGCCCTTCACTGCTTCTCACATGAATGTTAACAAGCGTGGATGGAGCATCCACTGATTAGCCACAGTTCCTCGAGTGATATGTCTTCAGCTCTGTGATAAACAGTTTATTGGAAAAGGCATTTCTCTTGAAATGTAGTCGGTGAAATGTTGAAGGTCAGTAGCAGTTTTGTGGATCCAATTACTGCAGAACATGATGAAGATTAGCTTCTGCTTGGCATTCTAGCATCTCATTACAAGATAAGTGCCTTATGTCTTCGAGACTGCGCAGCAATCCTTGGGAAATAATTGGCTTTTGAAGGAAAGCCAAAATATTGTATAAATTTCAGTCAGATGCTCTGTTTCTAGACAAAGGACAGTTCCCAGTGTTCCTTCTCTGCAAGCTGATTAGTGCTGTGGTTTTCAGGAAAATGTCCAGAGTTGTGACCTTCACTGTTTTTTCTCCATTTCAAGGTTTACTTGATCCTCACTGGGCATGTTTTGTGGTTTTTGGCTGGGTGAAATCTGAAATTAAAGGATAATGTAAATGAAAGACAAGATAGCTTCATCTAAACACAATAAACAAAGAGGAAATGCATCCATAAACTTAGTCATGACAGAGCAGTGATTGTGCAATGACAAATCATGATTCATGATTTTGAAACACCCAGGGATTCGACTTGGACTACAACTCATGTTGAATGAAGTTTTTATTGGCCCATTGCATCCCATCTGCCAAGCAGGGCTTGTTGTGTATTTGGTGGGGATCGTCCCTGATGTGGGCCCGAGCCAGGTTTTGTTTTGGTTCTGCTTGTTCCCCTCTCCTGAGTCCTTTTTGTCAAAGAGTGACGGGGGTGTTACCCTTTTGGACTGCAGTACAAACACAACTGGTTGGTGCATGAGAAGAGTGAGCAGTGGGAAGGCCACGATCCTACAGACGATCAGCATGCTCACCCAACAGGAGCTCTGCACCATCTGCACAGGCTGTATGGAAAGGGCCAGGGGGAGAGGACGGTGGGCAGGAGGAGGAGAGAGATGGTGGGATTAAGCACTGGGAGAACTGAGGCCTATAGGCAGTTAAGTTTTTTTTTTTAAGTTTTGATTAAAACAGAAACAGAAACTGAATTTGATCTATTCAGAGCTGTTAACGTCATTTTTCCATATAGTAAACATAAAAGAAAACAGATTTCTGTCATGCTCTATCTTGTCATCAATCTTGTAGTATTTTTTCCCTGTTTTCTCCCATTCAGTATTCCTCCTATACCAAATCCCAGTAGCGGTACTGACCACAGCAGACCTGTTCTTTGCACACCATTCCTCTGTTAATGACTCTGCCGGATAGACAAGGACCCCCTCAACACATGCAGTCATACCACACAAACTCTCACACATGCAACCACTTCATTCTTTTTCTTCCCTTTCCTTCCTCTATTGCTCATGTGTGTACATCCATACCACCAACAACTATGCTCACACCAGTTCCCCAAAGCACACATTTGTGTTGTGCAGTGGTAACAATATGCAGCCCCCCTCACCCGTCTCACCAAGGATCCACAGGCCGAGGTCCAAACTATGTGCTGGGCTGCTGCAGAGCTCTGGTGTTTGCCTGTGTGCTGGCGACCACATGAGGCTAATACACACAGAATGTCAGCTGTGTCCCATTGCGAGGTGCTCATCTGAATTAAAGGAAAAATTATAGTCACGCTCAGTGCAATGGCAAAAAAGCTGTTATCAAGGCTATGCTGGTCGGATCACCTTCTGTATAACTGCGGTGGAGCTCCCATTTGTTTACTGAGACCTCTATTTTGCTAAAATTTAACCTTCGCTGCAGGGAAACTGGACAACACGCATACACAGATAAACACACAACGCCATGCACACATGCGCTTACGCTTTCTTTCACACATCTCTCAGGGAAGCCAGCAGTAGAAAGCTCTTTCAGTCTCTTCAGCATCTGAGTGCTACTGCTGAAGTGCTTTCAGTCTCGAGATTCCTTTGTTTTGCATTTGACCTGATACATCCTTCCATCCCTTTTGCCAAACTGTGCTTTAGTCAAGGTCTTGTAGGTTAAATGCTTGGCCTAATGTAATTTGCATAGCTCTAAAAGGGCAGAGAATTGCTATTCTATATTTTCACGTAGGTTGCTGCAATTATTTAAATGCAGCTCTAAGTAGGAGATGTATATTTATGTGGAAATGTCACCCTAAATACCCCAATGCATGCACACTTTCTGTGCACATTTATACCTTTCAGTTGTTGGAGGCATAAAGATCTCATCTTAAGGAGTGTATAAAGCAATATGGCTGTTTACTGTCTTGTTAAGATTTAGACAAAAAGATTGATACCTCTCTCAAATTTGTCTGCTGAATACAAAGCCAGAGCTTGCAGGTGGCTGTTTTAGCATAGTGTAAAGATTGGAAACGACTACCAAAATCTGCCTGATTCACCCTCTCTAGTCTTTATGTTAAACTGAAGCTTAAAACTGAACAAAAATTTGTGAGAACCCTATCAGTCTTTTCAACAAACACTCTGCAAGAAAGCAAATTTGTGTATTTCCTAAAATGTCAAACTAAGAAGAAAAGTGTAAAATTCCTTTGGAGACACTGCTGGTATTTGGTTCCGGACAATATCGAAGGCAATGACGGCATATTTCTCCATCACTTCTCATGACGTTAACATTAAAATATAAGTAATTTACATCAGTACCTGTGTTCCAATGACATTGGACCTATAATTTTGATTTAAATCAGTGATTTACACAACCAGTAAGCTCTATCCATCCATCCCTTATCTATACACCACTTACTTCTCACTAGGGTCGCGGGGGGGGGCTGGAGCCTATCTCAGCTGACTTAGGGTGAAGGCAGGGGACACCCTGGACAGGTCACCAGTCTATCGCAGGGCTACACTTAGAGACAGACAACCAAGCACACTCACATTCACACCTACGGACATTTTAGAATCACCAATTAACCTCAACATGTTTTTGGACTTGTGGGAGGAAGCCACATTGCACGGGGAGAACATGCAAACTCCACGCAGAAAGATCCCGGTGCCCCCACCGGGACGCAAACTGGCGATCTTCTTGCTGCGAGGCAACAGTGCTGACCAACTGTGCCACCTTGCAGCCTCCAGTAAGCTCTAGCTAAAGAAAATATTGGAAGTAGGTCATTGTAAACCCTGGTACGTGCACCAGCAATGCTCTGGACTAAAGAAATTCCCTTTGCAGACAGGGCTCTCACAAAAGAAACTTCATGATAATATGGAAAGCTGAAGAAGAGTAAGACATACAAAGGCTGTTGAGAAAGTTTGCTGCTTCTGGAGAAGGGATAAAGAAAATTTCTTCTATCTCCAGGTCATGTGGAAATGATTCTTCTGTGAACATAGATAATCATTGACAGAGTTATATGAGAAGTGGCAAACAACACAGGGAAATCTCTGTGCACCAACAGAGCCAGCCAGGGACAGAACAACAAACATGTCTCATCCCATTAAATCTCATGTTACTTCTTGTTTTTTCTGAAACAAGAAAAATATGTCCATAGGGTCAGATAATCTTTTTTTTAAAATATTGTTTCTGTTTTTTTTTTTTGTTTTTTTTTAAGCAAAGGCAGATCCTAAGTGACAAGCACGGAAATTACAGGAAAATACACTTTGGAACTATTTTTGGGATGTAACTATTTATTTCTCTTGTGTAGGACTACACAGGGTAAAGGTCCCTAGCTGAAATCAAAGTCTGGGTATTAGTCAGTATGCCTCTTATTGTAGTAGTCCAACAGGATTCACTGTTATTTGTACAGGATTATCTCTTTTAGACTGAGTGAGTTAGAAGCTGTTATGTCATCTGGGCAGTTTGTAGTAAAGTCTTCTGGCTTATATGTTATTTCATTTATTTCCATATCTCTTATTCTGATTTGGAAGATAGTACATGTGAAGCTGTACATCTGGGATAATAAATACCATTTACCTTACCAGTAACCAGCAAATAAGCTTCTGCTAACTATAGGAGTAAACAGGGATAGATAATTAGTACTTTTTGTAAAAATCCATTTTTACTGTGTCATTATTCTGATAATTGTTGTCAAAAAAAATCACTTGATTAGCTGCAATAAGCAAAAGGCCAAAATACTTCAAAGAAATAGCAAACTCAGCATCACGATTGGCTTCAGTCTTGGAGTGAGTAACAGTGAGTTAGAGTCAGCTAAATTTATAGTGTTTGGTACATAAACTTTGAGGAGCAGAACTTTCGGAGCGCCTTAAATCCAATTCTAGTGCTTGTAGGCAGCCAATGAAAAAATTTAATTGATATGATTTGTGCTCTCAATTTATTTGGTTTTGGTAAAGACCATTGCGGCAGTTTTATGAAGCAGTTTTGTCTTTTGAATTGTAGGTGTTACATCCCAGCTCTGTTAGGGTTAAGGGAAGAACATAAAACTGCCATTTATTGCTCAGTGACATAACAAAAAAAAAAGAATGAAAAAAGAAAAGTTAATCTTGAAAACATGTTTGGTGGGTGTTGCCAAATCAAAACCAAAAGAGGGCTAAACCAAAAATAACAAAACTTACCCAAACTTAAACTCGGTAGCAACACCCCCACTCTTAATGTGGCTGACAAAAAGTAATTAATAAATGGGTGCAAGTGTGAACAATAGGCTAAACAAATGAGAGCCTCAGTAAAACACAGAAGTTCAGAGCTACGACTAACCATTTTTGGTGGCGTTGGACAGAGAGTAAGTAATTATTAATTAATATTATGAATGAAATAAAATGAAAAATACTTTATTTATCCCAGAAGGGAAATTCAATTTAAATTTCAAATTATATATATAATATAATATAATATAATATAATATAATATAATATAATATAAACACAAGACAACAAGAGGCACCAAGGCAAGCTGCTCACATTAAATCACAGCTGCCCTAAGTGACAGATTTATACACTCGTGTGGGGATTGCTGCAGTCCAATTGGGGGGGGGGGGACTGGGTGGTGGTCCAATCAGCCAAGAAGGTAGGCGGGGGATAAGGACGAGGGCTCAAGTGCAAGACCAGAGCTTCAGGCCAATCATCCAGAATGAAAGACAGGTAGGGTCTGGAGAATACTGTTGAGCCACCTATAATCAAAAGTCTACACAAACCTCTTCCCACAAAGAGGCTGCAATGGGTCCATTGCAAACATGAAGGCACACAGCCACTAGGGGCTGTAACAGTAGGCATGTGTCTTATAAGTGCATTCAGGTAATCAAGATATTTTTGGGGGTTTCAATGCTGTAATTAAACCACTGACAGTAGGGAGATGACAGGAAACAAGGGGTGAAAGAGAAGGGGAACGACATGTATCAGTTTTTCCCCAGTCAGAATTCAGCTAAATATGTAAACCTCTAGGCCATGGGGAAACCTCAATTAAGTGAATTTTTTTTTTCTTGTCAAATTTGTGCAGCTTATTCTGGTTGGAGATGTCGTGAGTATGGTTGGGATTGTGGCAGAACCCTGCTTAGTGTGCTTTTTGATGTTATTAATGATTTGTTGTTGTTGTTGCTGTTGTCTATTGATTGTGTTTCATTAACCCCCTGAACTCCAAGCAGTTTGTTGGCATTTTTTGCTCCTGTCACATCTTTGGTTTTAACTGCAGCAAGTTCTGCACCTCTATGGAAACAGCATAATCAAAGGAAGTAAAAGGAGACTCACAAATCTCGTTTTGTGCACTATGACACACTGATAAATCATTTGATTATTTATTTTTACAGAAGTTGAAGCAATCCAGAGTAACATAATCAACGTTCTTGTACCCACAGGTACAAAAAATGGTGACTCTAGATACAGTGGATATTTTACATCTACACAGCCTGCAGTTCAGTCCAGTTCAGTCAAAAAATAATTTTTTGTCACCTGACTGTTGATAGACTGTTGTAGCTGAGGCAATAATGGTTTCTGGGTTATGCAGAGAAGCACAGATGTTTTTGTTTTTTACATAATATGGCTTGTTCAAGGGTTGTATGTTTGCTCTGTGGTTAGGACTGTCGCCTCACAGCCAGAAGAACCCCAGTTCACATCCTGGCCTGGGATCTTTCTGTGTGGAGTTTGCATGTTCCTCCTGTGCAGCAGGGGTTCTCACTGGGTACTCTGGCTTTATCCCACAGTCCACAAACATGCTGAGGTTAATTGGTGATTCTAAATTGGCCATAGATTTGAGTGTGGTTGTTTGTCTCTATGTGTAGCCCTGTGATAGACTGGCAACTTGTCCAGGGCGTGTCCTGCCTTCGCCCTGAGTCAGCTGGGATAGGCTCTGGATAGGTTCCTCACCCTAGTGAGGATTAAGCAGTGTATAGATAATGGATGGTATGTGCAAATGTTTTTGTTTTTTTTAACATTTTTTTTTATTTCAAATGGGACATGTAGAATAAACTGATTTCAATAAATTATCTTGATTTTAAGTCTGGATTTAGTTAAGTTGTCTAGTGAAATGGTATGGCACAGATAAGTAGTTCAAGAACATCTGACAATTTTGTTTTTAGAGTTTCTGGCTCTGATAAATACGGTAATTTTTAAAAAGGTAATGTGCTTTTCAAAATATGTTTTTTTTTTCTGTTAAATGAAAGTGTCAAATCAAAACAGATGTAGTTGTAAAATTCCTTTAAAATAATTTTTGTTATCGTTTTGTTTACTCAGTTTTTTCGTTTTGTGCCATGTTGTCACTGATGCTCATAGTCCCATTAAAAGATTGCCAATAGATCTCAGATTTTTGAGATAAGGCAATAATCAGTTTTCCTCAGCAAAAACACATACAGAAATAAAAATCAATGTCACTAAACTGAACAAAGCATTAAAACCTTCCAATAAGTAAACAGTCTCAACAGCAGCTGCTTACTTTTAATCCAGTCTGTTCTTATATCTTTGTCTTTGGTATCAGCTTTGAACTGCTAAGCAGTAGATGTTTCAGTGCTCTTTGCTACTGTTTCAGGTGCTCTCTTGAACTTTTGAAATCAGAATATGACAACATTTTCAGCTGAAGGTAAAACATTTCTCAAGTACTGTTCTCAGAAACATGAATTGCGAAATTGGCCTAAAGTTGTTACTTGTTACAGGCATCAAGAGTGCTTTTATTCAGAGGAGTTTGTAGTGAGTAAGCCTCTGGAAAACACCCAGACTACAAGATGACGCTTGCTTGCTTGTCAAGCAACAAAGACCTTTAGAATGCTGGTAGTAAGAGGTGCAAGGGTGTAGGTACAGACGGTAACAGATACCACTGTGCTGAATGGATTCAATGTACTCACAGCATTAAAGCATTGAAGTGACAGTATATTTAATGTCCTGTCAGTTATCCTGTCATTGAATATTGAGACAAAGAAATAGATTGAAATGGTGAGAAACCGTTATTATCTACAGTAAAAATTATGGGGATTTGGCAAGTGGTTGGCTGTTGAAAGTAAGACAACGTATTGTTATCATGATTGTCAATTTCAAAATGTTGAGGTTTTGCTGTTTGTCCCAAAGCTCACATTAATTCTGTTGGAACAAGAAGTAGAAATTAAAAACAGTAGCTGCTTAAGTTTTGCAAGTAATATAATTCTGCTTGTGGAAAGGCTTTTATTGAAGAA